CTACTTTTAATGTTGTTCAATCCGACAAATGATTCCAAAAACGCTTTACAATGTGATCTAATAACCACGGATCCAAACGGTTTAGTTTGAGAATGTATGTTTGGTAAAAGTGATGTATCCATTGCACGCCATTAATATATGTGATCCGATACCTTGACAATCAAAAATATTGTGACAACTAGTTCGACGTTTAGTGCTCGTTGTCAATGATTTTGAAACATTTTGATGTTAGAATTATAAGGCTCTTGTTATAATGACTCGGACACCAAAAGTTAGTAACGAACACAACGTATCAATCTTATAAAACATTCTATTCATTTAAGCATCCAACGCTCCTTATACCCTCTAATTAGTGTTATTTGCTTCACTGTACTGTTTTACTCCCTATAAATTCAAAAATATGTGACAGCTGTTCTTGTAAAACTTGAAATATGAGCCGTTTTGATAACCTCATGGCTCTTTAAATTAACCATCGGCTGCCAAGGTTGCATTTTAAATTGTACTGGCCAATCGGCATACCAAACAGTGTTGTGAGCGTCGGCCGTGGGTGATGCACTCGTCTTTCTCTAGGACGTTGCACGAGATTCGAAGTGGCGATGGGTCGCTGGTTAACGCCTTGAGCAATTCTAGAAACATGAAGATAAATGCTGCTCCCTTTCTTCTGGAGACAAGTCTCCCAAATTTACCGAACCAAACGTAGGTAGCGTTAATATCTTTATTCGGCTTTGAAGTCTTCATAAATCTATGAAGAAAAAACACTCCCTCAGCTACGATAATAGCCTCCTTCCCTCGGTGTTTTATCGTCGCCCTTCGAATTTGGACTGTGATGGTGATAGGTGCGTAGGTCACCTTCCTCTAAGAATTCTTAGGTTCATCCCCAACCGGCGGGCCATGGACATGGACCGTGCGCAATTTTATTTAACTCAAGCTATTGCGGTGTCGGACCCTTCCTCTCTACCTAAGCCGGGTGATCGTATACTAGAATTTTCTCGCAAACGCCCATCTGTTCCTGGTCAGGAGTCTGCTGTACATGAAATAAGCAAACCAAAAAAATCTGTGCGCTATATACCCAAGGTGAGTTTTCTTTTCATTGGGCTTTTCGGACCCAAGTACATTAAATTAGTCGGTATCGCTAGTAAATGTATTGCTAGGTTCAACCGTACCGTTTTCTCTATTATCTCTAAATTTCAGCGTCCAGAACACGTCTTAGATGCCCCAGATCTCCTTAACGACTATTATTTGAACCTTATCGACTGGTCTAAACAGAACAGCATCGCGATTGCGCTTGACAGAGACGTGTATTTGTATAACGCTTGTGGTGGTGGCGTTCGATTGATCATGTCCGCTGGACTTAACGAGGAGTATATCACTAGTGTGAAGTTCTCCCCTCACGATGGCAATGTCCTTGCCGTGGGCACGAGTATGGGTCGCTTACAACTGTGGGACGTGGAGCATACTGCACTTCAGCGCACAATGCTCGGAGATGAGGGTGACCCGGCCCGAATTCCGGCCCTCGCGTGGCGGGACCACGTAGTCACATCAGGCTCTCGTACGGGAGAAATCAGGCATCATGATATCCGCATAGCACAGCACCTAATCGGCTATTCTGATGAACATACTCAAGTGGGTCTCAATTAGGTTATCTTGTGAATTTGTGAAGTCCTATTTTATACGTATTTTTTGAAACTGCATTTATAGGAGGTGTGTGGTCTGCAGTGGTCACCAGACGATCGCTTCTTGGCCTCGGGCGGGAATGACAATGTGGTTTGCATTTACTCTGCTGATGAGGCTTTTAAACTCTCGGGAGGCCGTCCAAATCATGTTTTGAATGAGCATGTAGCTGCTGTCAAGGCTGTTGCCTGGTGCCCTTGGAAACCGACTCTTCTTGCAACCGGCGGTGGCACTAGGGATCACCATCTTCGGTTTTGGAATGTGTACTCAGGGGCTTGTCTGCGTGCTGTCGATGTGCAAAGTCAGGTGAGGTTAGGATTGGTGCAAATATCCAAAATTTTTTTTCCTCTAAAGTCCTTCGTTTGCTTAATATTAGTTGGTAATCGAGTCATCTGTGTCATTTGACCATGTACGGAAATGTGCTTCATAAAAGCGGCTTACTGGTACTGATTGACGACACTATTTGGCCTCATTACCGCGCATTTGTCCTCTTAAATGGGTAGCAAGGCGACTACTTGAAATGGAGTTTGGTACTGATCAGTCATAGTGATCATGATACCAGTCAATAGCATTATCAGCTCCCATTTCGAACTCACTGTTTTAGTTTTATTGTAAACGCTTTAATTTTCATAGGTCTCTGGAATCGTCTGGAGTGAGGAGTTTCGTGAATTGATAACTGGTCATGGAAGCGGTAGCCTTTGCATTTGGAAGTATCCAAATATTCAAAAGGTTAAGGAATTCACTGGTAAGTTTAACTGTGCCAAGACTGGCATTGCTAGCTACTTGTTTGCATCGTTAGTGTTTTCATTTCGTGTAACCTGTAGTAGGGTACACTTGCTGTGTCTGAGATTGTCGAATGCAAGTGGCAGAGCCAGCCATTGTCAAGATTGACATCATTGTTTTCAGATCATCAAGATAGAGTCCTTTCCATCGTTGCCTCACCTGATAAGGAAATGGTAGCAAGCTGCTCGGGCGATGAAACGCTTCGTATTTGGCACTGCTTTAAAGTGGACAAAGCAAAGAAGCGCCTGGAGGAGCAAAAAAATGCGTCAATTTTTGCCTTTCCACGGCCTATGCGTTGAAGCAATTGTTCTGGGATGTATTCCTCGTCTAGCTCTTTCGATGTTTTGTCCATTTTATTTTTGTGCTGATCTATCAGGTGTAAGACTATCCTCCTTGATACGATGTTCACTTTGATCAGAGATCGTGCTAACAATGTCTTGTGTGCGCGTTTTTTGTATAAAGGCCTTACACAATACTTCTTGCTCTTATTTATGAGTGACCTCAGACATATTGGGGATTTTCGCAGGGTTTTGTATCTGCAATTAGCAGCAACTGGGTAATTGTTTGGTATTTGTGGATGGTAAGTTTAATTAATTTTAGTTTTTACCACGGAGGCGGCTTTCACGTCTTAGTTGCCCCATTTCTGGCATTTGCCTTTGTAGAAAGAGAGTGGAGGTTTAGTTGTTTATGGCAATCTAGTTCTTAAGAGAACGTTGAAATTTGGGGCACTGTTTTTCTGTGTTGTGTTGTCTTTGAAGCTGATCGAATGAAGAATCAAGCTAACAGATAATATCCTAATGGTATTTTCCGAATGCCATGTGCAATCCATTTGGGATGTCTTTCTCATCGTGGATGGGCTATTTCTACCAAGGTTCTGTTTTTATTGTGATGATCATAGACATAAGCCATGCACTGATAAAAAGGCGGAGCAGGAGATTTTACTCTAATTGCATTTATGAGGGTGAGGTGAGTTCTGCAGAATACATCAAAAATTCGCCTTCGTTGTGGATTTGCCTGGGACGATTCTACTGTGATGGCGTATGGCATCCTTCATCTTCTTGAAAGCTGTGACAAGTCGAATTATTACGAATGGGCGCAGGTTGATAACTTATCGAAACTGGCAAGGTGCCAGCCCTGTGGGGTGCCCGAGTAGTGAGGCTTATAGCTGTGCAGGACAAAACCGCAGCCATCAACCACATGAACGAGCGTTTCCTCATTTATGTTGTCACTAGCTGAGTAGGACTGGGATAGCTAAGCTGCTGAACGGCACTAAAATTGAAAAGGTCGCAAGAAATTAAAAATGCAATTTTTCGGATTTTAGTTTTTATTAAGTATATCTCAATTCACGTAGATAAATCTTGAGCAGCACGAATTTAGCACACCTTCCTCTCCCAACAGAGTTGGCAGTTTTACAGGTTGCCACTAATATAGGCTTGGGGCGGTCTAGTTGAGGGTCAGGGGCGGCGTCGAAGGGGAGGACTGCCTTACAATACATGTTTGAAGTGTTTGCATTTTGAAGAAGAAGCAGTAAATTTCCATCAGCCATTTGGCTGATGCTTCAGCGAAAACATTTTTCCTTTATTACACTACTTCTGTTTCAAGAGTGCTGCGACAGAGGTGAAAGAGAGGAGCATAGAATTCGCTACCACACTGGCAGAACAAATGGTGGTCAAGCTATCACCATTCGAATGCAATGGTTCACTTCTGCTGTTTCTAAGATCTGAGTCACGACTATCGCCATATTAACCCAAATAGCTATCCGATAGATAGAGCAGACCCAAACCAAAGACCCATTCCATAGGTGCGAAAAGCTGAAAAGTCTGGCGATGAGTATGCCGAAAAACGTTGATAATTGATATAGAGTAGGCAACGCTGCACTTTATGTACATGGTTGGTGTCCTCGCCATGGTCAAGAAACTCCTCACCATGAATACCAGCGCTTCAGGTGAAGTGCGTGTCGAAGAAGTGCCCAGAGTTAGGTACGATCCTCATTGTAACAACCACATCAGTAAACCACGCATGCGCCTATTTACCAGAGTTTTGAGGGTCGATCCTGGAAGTTGAATGGACTCCTTCCTCGTATATTGCTTCCCTCATCAGTTTATTCCTGCAAACTGAGAGAAAATTTAAATGACATCCTTCCATTTTCCTGACCCTAGTGCAGCCAGGGAAGAAGAGAAGAGCAGTCTTGATTTGATGAAGTGGGAAAAAAGGCTTAAACAAACGAAATCCCCGATTATATGGGTGTTGACCTGAGCTTAACTTTCTGCGTAGTATTAATGTCATACTCAATTTTTAAGGTGGCACCATTTCATTTACAATGGCCCCTTTTGCCACTGAGTATTAGCGATATTTCACCCTCGTAGTCAAAAATGAGCGGAAAGACTGACAAAATCGGCACATTGAAGAGATCCTCATCGGTACGGACAAAGGATCTATCTCAATCATTACAATCCGCACTGTTTGCCTTGATTGCCTAGAATCCAGCGAAGCAGTAGTCATTGCATGTGTCAAATGATGTTTCACATCAGATCTAAATTACCCCACTAGCAAGTACGAATACTGAAAGTGGATAGAAAAAAACTTCTATTCATTTTAACAAACAGACTTTATGAAATTAGGAAAATGCTCCTGTTAAACTCCAACTCCAACTGTGTCTAATAGGATGTGTAACTTACCTAAATGGTGAAATTGTAATACATTAAAGTTGTAGTTTATTCGACCTTGTAGGTCGAAGGTAGGATATAATAGAATGACTGGTTCTGTCTAAAGGCCTCTCCCAGTCTAGTCGGTACTTTTGGACTCATGCTATTGCTCCACTCTGTTGAGATACCAAAGAAAACGTTTTTAAGCTGCCTTTTGAGGAAACACCAGGGATGGACTTTGGCACTGACGAGGTTGTG